TATATATATATATATATATATATATATATATATTTTTTTTTTTTCTTCTTCTTTTGGCTGCTCCCTTCATCAGGGGTCGCTACAGCAAAGTAAGTCGCACGGAGACTTGGCAATTATTTTTACACCGGATGTCCACCGGATGCAAATGTGGGTGGAGACAGGTGTGGGTGCTTCACCAATTCCACCCACATTTTGATGTTGTCGGTACCAGGAGTTGAGCTAGCGATCTTCCAGTCACAGGCCCACCTTCTCTAACCTCTGCACCGCCAGTCCCCTTTACTGAGATCTAAATGAATCTAAAGTATTAGTACTTTATTGTTAGATACATGTTTGCACTTAATGCAACGATGGTATGAAAGTCATTTATTGACAATTATTTTTGTCTTACCCCAACCCAAAAAGCGGAAATATGAGTTTTTTTTACTAGCTTGTATTTGATTTTTAAGGTTATTTTCTCAAAAAAAAAAAAAAAATAGATGCTTTGTTGCTGAGATGTCACCAGAATATTTTGAAATGTACAGTATTTTCCAGCGTATAAGTTGCATCAGTCAAAAAAAGCATAATGGAGAGGAAAAAACATATATAAGTTGCTTTGGCGTATAAGTCGTATTTATTATGCGTTAATTTAATTGGCAAAACAGCTTCATTTCGGCTGGGCGGCGCAGCGCCATCCATCCATCACAGCCGGAGCAGCTAACTCTCCAGCGTTCCTCCGCCTGCACCAGCTGAGTGAAGCGAGCGCGCACGGGAGGACTCGCTGTTGCATTTCTTAGACATTTAAAGTGTCAGTCAAAAATTGCCTTTCGAATATGGGAAAAAAACCATATACAAGAACCATGACTGACAAATCTATGGAAAAAACTGTGACTTATACACCGGAAAATACAGTAGATCCCTGGATTTCCTTTCAGAAATAAATTTAGCAGACTAATATACTTACATGTCACTGTTACGTTAACGTTCTTCGACAGAGTTTTGTTCACATGCTTGGCCATGCACATGTAAAGCCCAGAAACATCTACTGTCACGTTAGAGATGGAAACAGAGCTGATTCCTTGTTCTTCCTGCAGATGAACTGAACTGTTGTTCTTCAACAGATTGTCTGCCCCAAATTTAGTCCACATAACATCCGATGGCGGGAAACTGTCAACACTGCAGGTCAGATTCAGAGTTTCACCCTCCCTCACGTTGGTAGCACCGATGATTTTAACCTCCTTCACATCTATAAAAGGGAAAGTCACAAAATAGATAAAGATTTCTGTTATTTGCAGTTTGACTGAATCCAGAAGGATGCAAGCTTTCAAAGGGTACTCACAGCTCACGTTCAGCGTCACAGTCTCTTCTGTTACTGCGCCTCCGGTGAAGCTGACCCTACAGGTAACGCTGGTGCCGTGGTGTTCAGATGAAGGGTCAAAGGTCAGAGTTGAGCTGTGTCTTTGTGCGACTGCAGTCAGATTCTCAGTGTGGAAGTCAGTGATGTTTCCTGTGAACTGAGAGCTGTTCTCTCTCGTTCCTCTCCACGTCCAGGTGATTTCAGGACGAGATCCAGAGCAGAGACCAGGAGCAGTGCAGGTCAGGGTGGCCTGCTGTCCCTCCATCAGAGGAGGAACCTCCACTGTGGGTTTCTGACTTAGACCTGAGGAAACATGGTTCATGCGTTTGAAGGTTTATCAGGAATTGATGTTCACTCTTGTTGCCAACAGAGGTCACCAACATTCAATAATGACTTTACTCTTTAGAGTCTAAAATCTCAAAATTATTTTTATACACAAAACAAAAAAGTCAATATATTTATATTTGTTGCAGCTTTTCTTACCTCTAACAGAAACAGGCGATCTTATATAAAATGTTATGCCACTTGTTTCATCAAGTAACAGACCGTTTACTCTGATTTGATACGTTCCAGAATCAGACTTCTTGAGGTCATTAATGATGATGCTGCAGTTCCTCTGGCTCACATCTGGCTCCAACAGCGACACTCGTCCTTTAAACTCTGACTGAAATTTGTTCGGGTTGGTGTGAAATATCATGTCAGATTCCACACATTTAGTTTTGGATGCATCACATTTGAACCAAACTATATATTTTGGTGTGAAATAATAAGAAGGGATGAAAGAGCATGGCACCACAACA